AATAAATCAACGTGTTGACTGAAGCGGAATTTCTGATTCTTATGACCAAATTTGGGTCACATCAACTCCGAGAAATTTTGTGTCCTTCAACCAAAACGCGTTGATTCATTCATTAAAAGCAAACTTTGCGTTAACAACCAAGTTTCCTTTCCACATTGCATTAACAGCACGAGAAGTAAGACGGCTTCTACGCCCGGCTTTCCCTCGGCAATGCTCCCCCTCGAGACTCCACAACTGGTAAAACAGTCATTCGATTCAAGCTCGCTTAATTCATCCCGTTGAAACTCGCAAGATGATAACGAACGCCGCGGGCTCGATAATCCGCCCAGCGCCACCCCCTCGCCCTTTCCGCCCACTCTTTCCCGTGGAGTTAACGCAGAAGGGGATGTAGTACGAGCGCAATTAAATATTCGGCTGAATGGATACACTTGCGTTACGTTTTAGAAGCCTCTTTTTGCATATTAGCCGAGCGTAAGTGGAATACATTCGCTCGCTCGAGCCGTAACGACGGCTCGTTAGTTGCTGCGGAAGGGACCCTCGATCCGATTCTCCCCGTTGCAACCCCATAGCCGTAATTAGGAGGGCCATCGACTGCCTCGTAATGTCGCCGTCCCGTTATTCGCCCGCCCGTCCACTCGCCCCGTTCGTCCACGTTCGCGAAAAAATTAGACGAGGACGTGACGCGCGCATACAAATCACGAATCGATTGCCCGGCTCGCGCATTCGCCGCCAAACGAGCCTGGAATTTATCTTCCCACCATTCCCATTCCATCCCCTTTCATCCGGTGCCTTTCTCCTCTTTATCGTCAGCGAACGGGGTAGTCTCGTATCTTCAGATAAAATGTAACATAACACTAGAAAGACCAAGGGGTGATCTATTGAGCATTTGAATTACAATCATAAAGAGACTACCATATTTTTTTGATGTTTTATTTCTTTCTTTTAAAATCCCATGACCCATTCCTGACCATTTGTCACCATCATTACGCACGGCTGAATAAATTGTAACGGCATCTGTTACCAAATTTAATTTGCCTTCAATGCTGATGGTCGATAGACAACCTCTTCAGTCTTTTTAGACATATACAATTTTCAACCCTTTTAGATGATAAAATAACGAAGAAGACAAGTGACGCGGGACGAGATGCTGAAGTAAGGTTCAAGTAATAATGCCTGGACACTAATAACGTATAAATGTTTATCAAGAATAGATTATCATTCAGATAATTATTCTTGATAAACATTTTTATCTTTTAATCTTTTGACTGGTATTGTATATATATATATATATATATATATATATATATATATATATATATATATATAT